CGGAAGAAGGCAGAGGCTACTTAAGAGACAGCTAGGAGAAAGTACAGAATTGTAGAGGAAAATTTGGGGGGGGTCTTGCTAGGCAAAGATTTTATTTTGTGACATTCCCTCCCTACTTAGTGTACGGACATATATACCTTAGTTCAACAATCACCTAGTAAATAAGTAAATAAATTAGCGTGGACAAGAAAAAGTGAACACGCAGGTTCCACCGAGATTTGAACTCGGATCGCTGGATTCAGAGTCCAGAGTGCTAACCATTACACCATGGAACCGCCACGCTCCCAGTACCGCCTTCGACTCTTTAATCCTTACAGAACCCCGCCCCCGTCCGCAAACCCACCACCAGAGGCGGTGCTGAAACGTTTCCCAGCGCCCCGCTGCCCCGCATGGCGGCGAGTGGAACGAGGAAGAGACCATTAAGTATGGTAAGCAGCCGCCAGGGATGTGGTCAGCCGGGAGTCCAGGGCGCAGTAACCCCTCCGAACCGCCCCGAAGTGGCTGAGAAATTGAAGACAGACTACACAAGCCGCACCGCCCTTCTTGGGTCAGGGGCGGGGCGCCACCTCCCCGGAAGTACTTCCCCTAAGGGGCTGGGGCCTGCCGGAAGTGGCGTAGCGGCAGGGAGGGGTTCTTCACCCGGTCGGGCAGCTGAAGCACGGCGCTCGGGTTACCCCTGCAGCGACGCCCCCTGGTCCCACCGATACCACTGCTGCTCCCGCCTCTTCGCTCCTCGGCCGCGCAATGGGCACCCGCGACGACGAGTACGACTACCTCTTCAAAGGTGAGGCCACGGGCTCTCGAACTCTCCACCAAGTCCCGGTTCGGGGGCCCGGGATACTCCCGGGGGACCCGCCCGCGGGCTGCCCCTGCCCAGAGGTCGCTTTTCCTCAGCCCTTCCTCTCTGTGCCGTTTGTCCTGCGGTCTCCCAGCCCCGCCCGCCCTTTTCTCCCTCACTGAGGGGTCCTCACCGTGCACCGGTCTCTTAGCGACCTCCCTAGACGGCCTTGGGAAGCCTCACACGCCCCTACCGCGCCG